AATCCTTGACAACAGAAAGGACTGTCTGGTAACAGCACTACTTTCTGCAGTTACCCTTCTATGGCTTTTAAGTGATCAGAAAATAACAAATAACACGAGAAGGCTTGCAAAGGACAGGAGGGCCATTCAGAACATTTACTGTAGCTCTTTGGTCTCTCTTGTCCACTCTTTGGTAACTCTTTGTAGCTAATTGCCCGTGGAATCTCAGTCAGCTGTCTCTTTCAGGGGAAGGATCTTCCCACTTTGAACCGAAGAGATGACTCACACCAGACATCTCTGAGACATCAAACCATGCACTTCTATTTTTCCAGCTCTCAACAGGAGAGGAACTGAACACAGACGCAGACATGAAACAAGAACACCTGCCCCAGCAAATCATGCATGCGTTAGTAAACAAAGCAGGGACTGTCTAGGGCCCGCTTTGCAAAGTGAGCATTCTTCAGAAAAAAAGGACAAATCGGTCACCTGCAAGAGTAACAAGCCTTGGCTATCCTAGAAAAATAAACTCCATTGGAACAGATACATACTGTAGCATATGCAATAACACAATCAAACCCCCAAAAGGATGGGATTGTAATGCAGAAAGAGCATTTATTGAAATGTTTGGCTTTAAGCCGCTTAGTTTGGGGGACCGCCATATGGATGAGACCTTGTAGCAAACGGCTGCTACACTGGAGTGACACTGAGGATACAGAGGAGTATTGACACGATGAGATGATGGCCAGAAGGCCCACATTTATGCCATAGACAGCCAGTGATTAGTGAGAAATTTGGGTATGTTCTTTTCCCAGACTTTCCTTAAGAACTTTTAAACATACATATGTTACAGATAGCCTTTTGCCATTATCTAATTACACTGGCAGAAATCCTTGTTTATGTTTGATGTCACATCTCACAACAAATAAGAGTAACGGGTGGAGTAACATACAAGCTGATTCACTCATATTTTCAGAACAGCACTTGCTTAACAGATGTTGGTGAATAACCTAACAAGACAACAAATAGAGTCAGTATGCTGATAAAGTGTACCGTTCAGATAACATGAATTTAAGAATTTAATTTACTTAACAAATCATCCGTTCCAGCAAAATCCAAAGAAATATGTCACCAACACAGAAAATCAGATATCGGTTCTGCACATTTTTCCATTCGAATAGAGACTGACACTTTTGCTCAGCATATCTCAATATTTTCCACTTAGGGAAAAAGTCCTCAACATATAAAACTGTATGACTCTCATCAACTGTACAGTGAGAAGCTCGCTTTGGTCGACTGTTTTTGTTGGGGCCTCACAACAGAAGTAAACTGCACTAGCTTACAATATATTGTACGGTGTGAGAGCACAACCCCGGTGGGGACCACATTTTCCAGATTCAGCTTGGGGAATGAGCTGCTGCTCGGTCACCTGACCAATTGGCTTCCTCCAACTGTTTTAAAAGAACAGGAAGAGGAAGGTTCCAGTGTCAGTCTGTGGGAGTGGATGTCTGCTCTTGGAGGGGCTAAGGGGAAGAACCCCTGTACAGTATGTACCACTCTGCAGGGGGAGAAGTCCGGACTGGTGACCGAAGACAGGAATCTATGAGTTTTGAACTTCCAGAAGTTGCGTCTTAGAGGGTCTTGGAGTAACTTTATTGTTTGTATGGGGGTCGGGAAGCTGCTGAGTTGCTTGGCTGTGTTAGTTAGTAACATCAAGAAGATGGACGAAGTTTAGTCATTGGGTCAAAGAGGTTTCCCCTCACTGTACAATAAACGCGCTAGGCATAGACTTACGTGTCTGTGTGTCTGTCAGCCCAGAAACTCCTATTTTAAAGATCTCGTTACTATGCGCCCAAGGTTGTGTCAACATGGCAAAATCATTTCTGTTCAGTAAGCCTGCATGGCTAAACTAGTGAACTTAAATCAGAATGGGGAGGGCCCAGAGGACATTAGTGTGATGGAGTCGTTAGGGGTTCTGGACTCACACCTGCATGTGTGTGGGCTGTAGGCTTGAAGCACAGGTAGAGTGCTGCTGTATCGCTGAACAAGTTTTTTCTCTTAGCGCTTAGCTTAACCCAAGCTAAGATATAGCTTTGATAATCTTCCAGCTTTTTAAAAGGTGTTCAGCTGAGAATTGCTTTGGAAAAGTGTGGTAGTTAATTCATAATAAGGCAAAATATTGTCTTCTGTCAGCATAAGAATCTCATCACGGCAGAACAATGGTGCATCTCGGCAAAGCAAAATCCATTCAGAGCAGATTAACACGATAAACATAAAATCAACAGAAAGAAACACAACACTAATGCACTGATGAAATCATTTTTTTATTGTAAAAACAGTATTTATTCTAATATGACTTTATATGGTATACTGTACAGTACTTTTACCGAAATGAGCTAAAAGGTTTAAAGGGGCAGTCTTTCAACAGATTCAAGCAACACTTCTAACTGGGCCACTGTAATACATTTGCAGCTTTACTACTGGGACATTCTCTCTCTTTTTCTATTCCAGACACTTGGAAATGGCTTTTGCAGGACAGCAACTTTCCTAAAAACCATGTTAAGTGTAACTGCTTTGGTGTGTTGAATTTTGGTCTGTCTTACGACACTGGAAAATATATTGTTCTCATTGACAACATCTACAAAGACTGCAAGCCTTGGAGACGTTTTCCAAAGTGCAGTGAGTGGGCTGGGTGTTCAACACACTTGGGATCTCTCTGCCCAGAACCACATGAAACCTGGCATCGCCAAAGTAAGCACTAATGACATGACTCCACACACGCACATTTAAATATTTATGACACTGCATAATAACAGCACAGTGTAACTGTATAGCTTTTCCTTTTGTGAATTATACAGTACAGCATGTACACCACTGTAGTTCAATATCCGAGAAGTATTTTTCTTTCTGGGATGTCAAAGAGGAATAACGGTGAGTTAACATCCAACTTAATTCCATTTCAAAGGATGGTGCTATTTCTTGTCATTCTATTAGGCTAGATTTGACATGTTTTTCTAAAATAAGGAAAATTGAAATTTGTTAAAAGAACGTCAATGTCAATTCAATGTCTTAGCAAGTCACCCCACACCAGTAGAACAGCAGTTATTAATAATAATACTAAGAGAGGGATAGATCTTACCAACGATATCGTCAGGGTAATAAGTGTGACTGAAAACTTTGCACAGTATTATACCTTAAGTGTCACTCGTTTATTTTCTTTGTGTATATATTTCTTAGTGCTGGGAGATTCCCAGCAGAAAAAAGGCTGGCAGTTTTAAGGATAATGAGTCACTTTCTGACAGTACCGGAGACAATTAAATGCTTACAGAACAAGCAGACCATCTGACCAAGAATGAGTTTACGTAACATGCGTTGCAGATGCCCTGCTGCAACTGTGACCAGTGCACACTGGTGCCACTGGTAAAATACTGAAAAGAACGGTTATCAACAGAAGCACAGAAGCACAGGATCAGCCACGAAAAGAACGACCTTGTACACAAGCGCACAAACAGATTTCTGAAGTGTTCACATGCTGCACGAAGTCATTTTTCAGACCGCAGTATCAGGTTCGTCGATTGTCACTAATGAATCTACCCTATCACACCCCAGAAATCTGACCTAATGTTAGTTGGTTTCCATGTACCGGGTCAACAGGGTGTCACAAACGTGGTCTATCAGTGAGACGTCTGCCAACATGATTGAAAAGAAAGGGCATAAAGTGTCTCAGTATTACACAACCCTGCTGAGCTACCCCACCTGCTGTATCAATAAACAGAACACCGTGCAGAATATTGCATTGCCTTATAATGTCCTCCCACATCACATCACACTCTGGCATGAATAACATGAAACTGGACCATGAGGTCCTTCCAGAGGTTTGCGTTTGGCCACTGGACCACAGTCCTTTGCTGGAGTCATCTGTGCCAGTCTCACTGTCCAACCAAGTGCCACGGCGCTCGTGGGCAGCACTGCGGACAGCCAGTGGCTCTCAGATCTGTGGGGATGGTTTCTCAAGCTTGGTGCTGAGAAGCTGACCTGTGAGGAAGTGGCACGATAAAGAGGGGCCACTCTTTGGCTGTGAATCTCAATGGCACAAACCAGTGCAGGACTCTGCCAGGGCAGTGTCACCAGTGCGCATGGCCAGGCACTCAGCTGTGATGGGCTGGGGATGGGGGATCTAGGATCCTGGGTTTTTTTCCACTGCAAAACTATTGGGGGCATGGTAGTGAGGCAGAGCACAATCTATCAGGCGGAAACATAAGATACAGCCCTGGAGAATATAATATAAGGGCAATTTTTCCACTGTTCAGGAAGTAACCTTGACTGAGTTTACACACAAATTTCCAGTTGTGCTGCTGTATGCCCTTGGATGATTCCACTCTACAGCATTCCGATAGCACCCCTCTACGGTTTGTTTAAGCGCTACATGGTTGTCATGGCACAAGTCAGTCGCTGGATGAATTATGCTGTACCTGTTCTTTCATATTCACTGGTGCTCTTTCGATACAGGCTGCCCGCCATGAAACCACGGTATGGAAACACCAGAATGCCCCTGGCAGGGCAGCCAGAAAGCCCGTCGCTTAAAATGCAAGGCAAACGCTTTTTCACGCTGACGCAGATCCTGGGTGGAAGTCTCTTTCCATCCCACAATCATCTCTCCGTAGAATCCGTGTGTCATTCTGAAAACCTGTTTTGAAATCAGATATCCCCTAATTTTTAGGATCAGTACGTTATCGGGCAGCGGCACTGTTTAGTTTATTGCATGAGTGCACTATTATGCAGGGTATTTTATTTTAAATACGATTCGTTTCCTCCCTTGCAGCTACAGTACCTGACTCTTTCTCTACACTGTGCAGCTGAGAATCAGGAAAACCCTTCCACTGCAAAGGCAAGGTTGCTTAAGCCTCTGCTGTTGACAGCCAGATGTAATATAAATATACATGGAACTACACTAAACAAATGTGCAAGTCTCTGATGTGAAAGTGCAGCTCCTCTTTAACACAGTTCTGATTTCATTTACTTACAGATCGCTCTTTCAAGCCGTGCAGATCTTTCCAGAGAAGATTCCTTTCATGTCCTCTGCGCTTCAATCCATTCTGACACACCTGCGCCTGTAGAAAAAAAAGAAAACACAGCCACGCTGTTGTGCTGATTTGCTTCACAGGGTATCTGCTGTCACTGCTTCGTTTCCTTTAGCTTTTCTTGTATTAACATGCTTATTCAGACAACAAATTGTTTTAAGCTAAACCGCACTTAATTAATCCAAAATCTGAATAAAATTTGCTCAAACTGAGGTGTCAGGTAAGCCCAAGGGTTAATGAACAGTTCAGTAATCTTTTTTGTTTGTAATTGTGTTTTTACAAAGGCCCAAGCAGACATTAATAAACTTCATTTTGTGAGAAACCAGGTGCCAATCTTGATACCCATACTGTGCATGTTGTCAGAAAAGGACAAAAATCAGCAGGAATTGTTTTTCCATTCCACAGTACCCTGCCAATACAACAGTACAAAAGAAGTACAAATTCGACATGGTATCCGTCAATGTCAATGGTGCTGTAATGCTAAGAGGAAATAATAACAAAGCAATATGGTTTCAGATTGAGTCTGGATAAAGGGGAAAATCCACCAAATGCTCACAGTGTAGCCCTGAGGCTAAGGATGTTGTTACACCAGGGTCATAAGTAAGATTGGGTTAAAATTCTGCAGTCACGATTTCACCCAGCACATCAGCCCATTTAGTTCTTGTGTCTTTAATGTCTTAATGCTTTAATGTTTTAGCACTGTTGCTGCTGCAGGAACAATACAGCTTTTTAAAACACCTTTAAACCCATAAACGAAGGCATAATCTAATCTGATGCAACACATTCTGTTTGATAGTTTGGAGCAAAAAAAAACAACAGCTTGCTAGACAGTATATAATAGAGCACACTCAGACTGCAGTCATTCATCATCTAATATCTGTGCACACAAAGCAAATCTTTCACAGTTCTGTTATGTTTCGTCTGTTTAAACAACACTATCACAAAAAACAGGAAGAGAACGGTTGGCGCTCTTTTTTAGCAACCTTGACATCTCCTTTGAAACTCAAAATAAAACAAAGAATAGTCACAAACATCATCACAATCATTAATATTACTAGTTGCAGAATATGCCAGTGAGAATTTTGAAAATAAAGAAGGCCAAGCTTGGAGGCCTCATAGATCCTTATTAACGCTGGAATAAATATAAATGGAAAAGTCTGAAATTAGTTCAAAACATTGCTTTGTGTTTCACACACAGGATAGACCTGCATAGTTACAGTACAGTATAAGTATACCGTATGCTGGTCTGGGTCTGAGAGTGCATACGTAGGTATAAACTCTTACTGTGAACACTGCTAAATGTTAATGTAATTAATGTATTGCTTATCGCTGGAAAAACAAGACATTAGAGTTACTAAAGGTAGACAGCAAAGCTTGTGAGCTCTACCATTTGAGGAATGATTCAATAAACTAACCATTAAGTCAGCATTAACTGATAAACTGTGATTACCAGTTTTGAGTACATGCTACATACTGTTTTTACATATGTATTTTATCATCAAAATAAACAATGTAAATTAATAACACATCTATTAATATCACTAAAATAATAGTAAGCATTCCCATATTTGTGGCATTTACTTAATGGTAAAAATATCAAATGATTACGCCTTTAACATTTGGTATTATCAACACTTTAGTGAATATAGTCAAACTAAAAAATAGTATTATTCGCAGCCTGTAAAACAAAGGGCTAGGTTTGGTTTGACAGATGTTAATGCATAGCTTTCCCTATAACTGCAAAGGTTTCCACTATTTTCTCCTATTTTACTCATTCCTCTTAACTGTATTAAGGGAATGGCATAATAAACGGTTTATGGTAAAATAAAGATACTATTATTATTATTATTATTATTATTATTATTATTATTATTATTATTTAAACATTCATAAGGAAAATGCCACAAAACAAGAGTTTATTTTTATTTATACCACAGTATTTTCTCACGATCAAAGAAGTTCATTTGAATCATTTTCGAAGACTTCTACATTCAGTAAGCATGAGGTTAAGATGAAAATCTGAAAAGTCGGCTTAATCTTTGTAGGTACTGTACTGTATATTGGGTGCTTTTTTATTTATTTTATTTGGGGGGGAAGAAATGTTTAAAAATGTTTACGGCCTAATATATTAAATATCATCCAAAAGTATTACATTAAAGGGGTTAATGGTTATACATGCCACTCACAAGGAGAAACACAAAACCCTTCACCAGAGAACTATCTGAAATTAATACAAACAACACAGAGCTTCTGTCTAGGAGCTATAAGGTGTCCGTGGCTGAACAAAGGTGAAGTGTCGCTTGTTCTGGATACTGATTGGACTCACAAGAGGCACGCTGATGAATCCAGTCGCTCAGATGCTGCAGTGAAAATTAATTTATCTTAAAGCGCTACACACGGATAAATAATCAGAAGACCTCTAGGTGGAATAAAACTCAATGAAACACTACAGAGTGACTTACTTGTTCACCTCGGTGTATTTTAATTTACGGATCGTGTTTTTTTTGCATTTTAACGGATATGAACTGCGTTTTGCAATAACAAAAAAGGACAATTCAATCATGTTTATGTGGTATAGCGCGACTACAGCCTAACTTCTTTAATAATCCCTTAAGTGATCTCTTGTACAAAACAGACTTTTTTCCCTCATGATAACTAAGGCACTGTATTGGTTGTAACTGATGTGATCGCAGCTTGCCTCACCTGTAGGTTGTTTTAATGTTCACACACACGTTTACACACCATTACAAGTTATTCCAAACAGCCTTTAACTTAAAAACAAATATGGCTCGAGGAAATGAAATTCCGGCTTTACTGTATGTCGAGACACGGTGTTGTAACTTTCTGAGCAAAAACAAAAAAATGCAACATGTACAGAATTCCCTCCAACTAACAGCTACAAAGTGAATCCTAAATGAAAGTCAAGAATGCCCGTAAACCAAGAAAGACAAATTACGGAGTTATTACCATGTCTCCGCCCCTGATCGCGCAGCGAGCAAGCACCGTGACATCCGTAAATATCCCCATGTGAGTGAAGCCCAAACTCCCAGAAAATGTGTTTAGATGTGTCTTCGTGGCACCTTTTTCCGTTCGGAACTACAATAAAATGATGTTTTTTTGGAGAGGTGGTGGGGGGGGGAGGCTACGGCTGAATATTGAAACATTGCACGGGCTCCACAAACTGGATACCTAGTTACCCACAAAGAGGTTTCCCCGGTGAGCCTGTCAGGAGAGTGACTGAGCAGGAAGAGGCGACAGATTTAATTTCACAACAGTCTATAATATTACAGCCGCGAAACGGTCAGGAAAAAGCCGAGTCCGTGCGCGGCGCCTCTTGCACGGCAGACGGGTCGTGAGCAGTGCATGAGCTGGATTTCTCCAACAAAAGATGATATATATATACTTACTTTTAGTCGCTGTTCATTCCAGTCCGGCGTCAGCTAAGTTCAACAAGAACTTCCCAGTTGATATGCGCGAAGCACGACTCACTTTTTGGCTTTTTTTAAAAAGAAAGAACAAATAGCAGCCCGAAAGGTTCCGCGACTCCAGAAGGCGAAGCGGTGGAGCGGGTCAGGCGCGCGCCGCACAGTACCTCAGAACTTTCCGCATGCGCGCGACTGGCTTCCCTGTGCGTTTCTTAATAATTAAAGCGTTTCAGGGGAAGATACTGTAGCAGTGTTGTTGTTGTTGTTGTTGTTGTTGTTGTTGTTGTTGTTGTTGTTGTTACCGACATTACATATCTTAAAATATTCCCCGTAGTGTAAAAAAAAAAAACCCAGAACAACACAGAGTCGACCCTCCATTTCCACATGATTTCCAATATTCCAGCTGGGCAAGAAACAAAAACTTGAAATGCAAACTATGCAAATATGTTTGGAATTCATGTCATCAGCGGAACGAGGTTAAAACTGAAATCCTAACAAAGTAAAACCATACATTGAACTCTTCGAAAATAGGTTTCTTTAAAGAGAACTGTTTTGTATTTCCACGCCGCGGGCTGCGTTCAGAATAATTTAAACAATTATCAGGCTCTTCGGACTACCACTTACTGCAGGTTTTTCAAACTGGTATGTTTTGTCAAGTTCGTTTGTAGTTGGGATTCACTATTGTTTCATACATGTATTCAAAGACCACAGAACACATTTCTAAACTAGTTTATTCGTGGCGTATGGTGCATAATATTTTAACACTAAAGAGGTTAAAACGTAAAATAACTTAAAACCCTATGCTATGTATAGCATAGTAAATCCATTTAAATTTGATTATATATGTGTATGTTCAACGTGTGCTTCTATGCGAGTGTTTCATATTTTAATGGTATCGCAGTGCTAGTCACGAACAGAAAATGTATTGAGCAAACGAGTTAAAGGAAAATAATAATTACAGTTTTCTGTTAATTTATTCTGTTGAATTATGAGTGATTTTGTAATTTCTATCATACTGGAGGATATTGTCGGTGAAAAAAAAAACCGAACTAAAGTGTGGCCATGGTGCCGTTTATCCTACTGGGCTTAAAATGAGCCTTTGCTGTAAGGTTTCTCAGAGCAAGTTTACTGCTGGGGTCGGTCCACACACAACGAGCGCGATTATCGCGGCTACAAATGGGAGAACGAAAAGAGCCAAGGAACTGGACACCTGCTTTCAATTACACATAGAGTGCAGATGCAAATCGATTCGGAGTATTTTGACGAGGTTTACTGTCCTGGACAAGGAGGTCTCCGGGAAGCCAGGAATGTGCGAAGTGAAAATTGAGACGTGGTATATTATGTACTCGTCGAGTACAAAAACCCGAACGCTGTTGAAATACTACTGATACACACTTTTTACAAAACAAATAAATTGTGTGTGTTAGGGGACCTTGTTTGATGGGGTAATTTGCGAGTCGAGTTTCACTGGCGAGGAACAGTACCAAGCTCATCTCCGCCGCTCTGAATCCATTCTGAGCCTGTCAGAATCCTACTCGGGAAAACCGAGAGAATATTGTACTCTGTTATACAGTTATTCGTTTTTTTTTTTTGCTGAGTTTTGTCTTCAGATCTTTAAAAATCAATTTCAGTAACATGTTTTTAAAACGTCACTAATTATCACGCAATTCTCTGACACATGTAACACATCCCGCCGCGCGTTGTCCAGCCTGCGAAAGCCATTGCTCATTTGAGAGGAATCGCAACGTGCGAGACGCGTTTTTAGACAATCCCGAGACTTCCTTAAATTTTAAGCATTTAAATGGAAGAAAAGATTACAAAGCATTTTTGCAATCCTAAAATATGAGGCACACTTAGAAGCAGATAATTTGTTAAGTGATTGACCGGATTTATGAAAAGTAAACATACTGTGTCTGCTAATACAGTATGTATATTTATACTCTACATACAGTATGCATAATGTTTGAAAACATGCAATTCTGCATTGAAAACACTGAAACATTAAAATACAATACTTCACTTACTATCCTCGCTTTCCTTGTAATTGTATGGTTAACATAAGAAATGTGAGATTTAAAGTCATTAAATCTGAACACAACGATTTGAAGATACGAACGCCTTCCATGCACATTTTAACAGATATTCTATAAAATATTTTCCCTGATTAACCTTTTTATTTCAAGTTATTTTTAGTATTTTCGATTTAATGATGTAGGTAAAAAGATTTTTAAAGATAGCACGCATCTCACGAATGTTATCGTTTCATTCTGGGGAATAAATGAACAGCCGCGAACGTGAATCCTGATATGAATCCAACAACAATAAATGATTATAGCAATTTACAATTTACATTACACGTTTAGTTTAAATTGTATTAACGTAAATATAGACCTAATTTACGATTCCTTTTTAGGAAATATTACCGTAGCGCATAACATTGATATATATATAGTGTTCCCGTAATTGTATGTGTGTGGTTTATACATGTTGTTAGCACAACTAAACATGGTGGTTATTTAGCATATAAATATATTTATGATGTATATCGGTCAAAGCTATTATTAGTAGTAGTATTCAATTAAAAATATCGTGGGCGCTCAATTCAGTACAGTGCTTTATTTAGTAAAATCTTAGATTCTTTAGAGGTTAAGACTCATCGAATATTGTTTCCATACACTTACAGTAGTTCAAACCCCATTACTATTTTAAAAATTGCGAAAGGACTTTAAAAATGCAGTTCATGCTGAACTGTACCTAGAAGAAATCTGTTCAATAACGTAAAGGCTACAAAGGTGGGAGTACAAGGCGGAAATCAAACAATCTAAAACACGTGTTCTTTCACAGTTTTCATATTTCCACAGTCTCCGACTATTTTATCTCTAATGCAGAGCACTCGAATGAGGAATACTGTTGAAGAGTGTGAAAAAATAATTAAAATCCACTCTTAGCCTGCAAACTGTGGCAATTGTTAAATCTCGTTCCCTGCAACTTCCTAAACAGACATCGACTTGAGAACAGAGGTTTTATGTTGTTTAATAATATGGGTTTCGTTTGAAGTGACAGAAGACATCTTACTTTCATCCTTGTGAAGATACAGTACACTTAACCTTGTGCATCATAGCAGGCAGTTTATTTGGGATTTTTATGCAAATTATGCATACTGCATTGTAGACGTGCTGTACTGTAATATACTGTATATCAGCGGTGTACGGAGTCAATCTTGCATTAACCAGGTACGTTTTTGTGCCCAGAGAGCATCACGGCAACTCAGACATGTACTGTATACTTTTGTTTTTCAATTCACAAACATGAAATATGAGACAATTAACACACTGTACAGTACGTTTTTACCGGCCGTTTCGTTAGGCATCTGTTTGTTTATACATTATATAGTTCAGGTGCGTAGCTGCGTCAGCATGCGTAGGCTGCCAAGGACCAACTAATAGATTTATTCCAGGCTGAAAAGAGAAGAAAGAAAACACAACGTTTCGACCGTGGAGCCTTCTTCAGGTATGAGGAAGTGACACCCGAAGAAGGCCCCACCGTCAAAATGTTCTTTTCTTTCTTCTCTTTTCGGCATGGAATAAACATATATCTTGTTCCTATTCATTATATACTGTATATGTACTGTATATTGACTCTTTACTCTGTTAATGTGAACAATTGTGTTAGACTCAGTATAGGGTCTACTACTTAAATGTGTGATCAGTTGTAAATACAAATGTTTCTGAGCAGTTATGTATTTTATTGTCTTGCATTTTCATTATCACTGAAAAGCATTGCAGCTGCTTTTATTTTTTTCCTTTAAAATACTGCCAGTTCACACCCCCTGTACTGTATGTCGGTTAAGGAAGGATAACGCATGGTCTTGAAAATAAAATTTTGCCACAAATGTAATCTCCACTACTTTATAATAATTCCTAATAATATTAGAATATAATCCTTTGTACTATACAATTAAAACTTTTGCATGATAAAAACCTATACTGTTTTTAAAATACAAAGAAAATACAATACACCTTCAATTGCAAAAGTTTATTTTTCACTTCTGTCCTCTAGTTTGTGTCACTGTTGGTCCTGGTGAGGTCCATTGGGTTTCAAACCCCAAATCAAGACTAAAAAGATTCAGTTCATTTATCCTGACAGTGTAGAAAGTACTGGATTGCTTTTCTTTGGACTGATTCCGGAGATGAAGCATTTTGTGGTTGATGAAGCCTTACTAGCAGATCATGCAACGTTAACATAACGTCTAACCATTTCATACAATCCAGGGTTGTGGGGAACCAGAGCCTATCCTGGCGTAAAGCAGGATAGATCCTGGACAGGACACCAGTCCACCACAGGGCACACACAGACACAAACACGCACACACTCACACCAGGATCAGTTTTCCCAGAAACAAATTAACCCACCACCATGTCTTTGGATTCTGTAAGGAAAATTAGAGCACCCAGCAAAAACACAGGGAGAACATACTGTACAAACTCCGTGCATATACTGTACTGAAGCACCCCAGGAATTGAACCCAGGGCTGCAAGACAGCAATACGTAGTGCTGCTCTATCACCCACCTGCTAACATACAGTAACACCCCTTTATTTAAATTCTATATTTTATCCACTATAGTACTGTAGGTATACAGTATATAGTGCCTTGCAATAGTATTCACACACTTGCACAGTTTTCTCAATTTGTTTTTTAAAGCTTGTAGTTATTATACGTTTAGGCAGAAATTCATATTTGTTATTTAAAAAAACTACTGTACACATGTAAAGCAATAAATAAATAAAAAAACAGTAAATAGACAATTGACATGAAAGAAAAACAGAAATGTCCTGATTGCGTTAAGTATTCCAACTCTTTGCAGTGGCAAAGCTAACTTAATTTAGGTGGTCAAAATTTCCTGAAGAAGCGACACAATTAGTTGAGTGGCCTCTGTTTGTGTGTAATAATAATAATGGTTCTCATGATTTCAGAATTAAAGCACCAGTCTCTGTGCGATTGCATGGTCAGGTAACACATTTCAATCAAAGACTCAATATTGACTAAGAAGCTTTCACAAAGCACACATCAGGAGTGGGGTTCAAAAAACGTTGATTTTTCTGATGTTTCTTAATACTCCTGTGAACAATCAAGAAGTGGATGGTACATTGTACCATTCAAATACTGCCTAGATCAGGGCGTGCTTCCAAACTGAGCAGCTAGACAAGGAGGAACCTC